CCCACCCACACCCACACCCACCCACAATGGCTTCAGTAAAATTCATAAAACTCATCTCTCGGCAAAGATTCCTTAAATTGAGAAAAACTTGACTATTTTCAATGAACAGATCTAGTCATTGCTTATGGAACTTGATCTATTGATAATATTAGTTCCAGACTTCGTTATGTTTGTGAATGTTTGCATCTTTCATAACTACTTTAATTCTCAAATGCAATGAAAGATAATTTATGGTACTGTATATTTTAGATGCGTATGGATTGTGCACAAAGTTTTTATTTCTTTAGAGATGAACATGGTTAAAGCAATTAGCAACTGAAATTAATAGTTTTTATGTGAAGGTTACAGTGAATACATAAATAATTATAGTAGCTCATAGTTTCATTGTTATTAATTTTATATCATCTTGAGGAATCATTTTGATTTACTCATTAATGATTGTTACTTTGATACGACGAAAGTGAAAACGACGTTTGATCTTTTGATAAAATTGTACACTGTTCCAAACAATGAATCGTAAAGTCACAGTGAGTCCTCCATAAAGTCCTAAGAGTGATGTGATCACATACCAGACATTGTGAGTTTCAGCATTTTGATATTGACATGTGCTTGGAGCGCATGTAGCAAAATAGCTTTCATATGTGCTTGTATTAAGCCACTCCTCAATAAAGAGATCATCGATCAGTTGACCGATTGGTGTGTCAGATGAAAATCTTGGTGGTGTGGAACTGTTAAGTGCTGCAACGATCAATGTAGGTTCTACAGGAGGAACAAAGTCTGTTGGTGGTGATCCATCTATCTGCGTGTAGTAGTCGAGATAATTAAGGATTATGTTGATACAATCTGATGAGAAGAAACATTCGAGTGTCGACATGCGTAGTCCATCCATAGGCGAACAACCAACAACAAGACCAGGTAAAAGAAGTCCAGGAGGGCCAATTCTTAAGGGTTGTCGACATTGGTTCGAAGTGACACAAGTACATGTACTATTCTGGAATGCTCGGGGAATACTTCGCAGCAAGTAATCATTGGATTCGTTTCCATATTCGATTGACCAATCAGTATTGAAAGATGTTGGGAACGCATTTGTTTGCCAAATGAGATCAATAGCAGCCATTGAGTTTCGAAAATTGGATGGTATTTGTGTTGTTATATCTCTGATGAGTTGGGATACTTGCGATTCAAACGAGGTTCGAGACAAAGCAGAGGTGGTCACCAGTTGTGTTTTACTGTCACTCACCAATTGATAAGTGACAGTGGCTTGCGCATGTGCACATAGCCAACTCAATACTTGATGTTGCTTGCTAAGAAGAGGTCGGTCAAGTTGTAGATAACTTTTTGCGTTGATTCCGTAGCCGTACAATGATATTGTCCATGTTGAGTTGACAAAAGCACTCGAGCAAACCTGAGGCATATATATAAAATTTTATTAAGCAATCTTCTATTAACTGATACCGCGTAGCAAATACAGCTTACTGAGCAGTATCATATGGGCTTTATGTATACTTCTGTAATCATTTCTCACATATAACCATTACTAGTTGTCATTGAGAACTACTCGAACTAGAACTTTCGTTCTTTATTACTATTCACTGTTAACAATGCCAAGAAAGTATGATGAACAGGAATATAGTGTTCGTTTAGTTCCACTTTTAGCCTTATTCAAAAGGAAATATGTCGAAGTACATGATCTCGTTTCGCTTGACAACTCTATTATTTGATACGCTCAGATAACAGAACGAAAAAGTCTACCTCAAAGGTCTCCTTGTATTGTCGTGTTATACCTTTTTTTCGAACTTTTGGCATATGACATTAAATTTTGAAGATCATTTAATGAAGTCTCGAACCATAGCTCACTCTCTGGTCTTGCTTCCTTTTAGTTAGAACTCTCTAAAACAAGCGGAACCAATTCTCATCAAGCTACAAATCCTTTTATAAAACATAAATTTTATTCTTGGTTGTTCAATGAAAAGCGTTGTATATATGTTGAATGTCTTGATAAAAACATACTCTCATCGCCTATAAAATTGTTGAAATATTTAAATTATTGAAAATCTGATGATATAGCTAAAATTATGCCCTTAAACATCTTCACTGAATACTCTGTAAAATTCTAACAAAATTAAATTAACACAAATATGTTTCAAGTATTTCGACAATTGTTGTGCTTGAAATGATGCTAATGATAGATGCCGAGTCGTCAACGCATAAGTTCATCTCTTCCAAATGTGAGCGAAAATGGATAGAGTGTGGTTTCTTCTGAGAAATGATATGATACATAGTCTTCTATTGATAAATTACAGTAGCAAAATCTGGTTTGGTGTTTTCAAAGTTCAAACAAAAGTAATGTAGCTTCCTACAGTTATTTCTTTTATTTTTCAAAAACATTTGGTATGTTGCTTTATAAGTAACACGTTGGACTGATTTGTACAGGTAAGATTCAATATTATTTAAGCTTTTCCTCTGTATACAAATCATTCATAGACTTGCTTATATCCTTGCTCCTAATACGAGGCTTTCGCATTATAGCAAAACGGTCTATAGAGAATGACATGAAACTCATAAAAGAAAACCTAAATCTTATGAAAAAATGAATCGGTTACATTTTTTAAATCTTCTTTTCGTTGACTTATGCCTGAATCATGTAAATTAATGAATCAAATTCTCGAAAAAGTAGAAAAGAAAACGGTATATCGCAATATCTATAACTTGAGTATAGAAACTCGAACCATTTCTATTTGAATATTGATATGATGAATTTCCAGTACTCATTCGCCCCTCAAACAACACGTTTGAATGGATTTGACATACAAGAATGATATCCAATTCCATACTTATCTATATATCTTTAATTCAGGATATTAAGACAATGATATGTAGTTGCATCGTATTGTGATACTCCAAAGCTCAGACCTAGAAACTCACACACAAGCACATTCAGAGTCACACGTACTCATTCACATCTACTCTCACTCTTCAATAATAGAAGAGACAGGAAAGCGATTCTAACTAAGATTAAATTTTACTGAACTTAAGTTTAGTAATACTTTCATACTCTACATCAAAGAATCAAAAATTCATCCATCTGGTAATCTATTGACAAACTTTTCTATTGATAAGTACTTTTATCTTTAAAAACTTTTGTGATCTTTACTCTGTAAAGTAGTATTCATTTTCTTTCGAATATTTCCTTAATTTTTCGTACACTTACTTGATGAAAGATGGGCACAATTGAGTAGAAGGTGCCGTAAGAGATCGTCGTTTGTTCACAAGGACACAACAGCGTACCAGGATAATCAGCTTGAAGCCGTTCAAAGGTGACTAGCGAAGAAACTTTCACACTCACTGAAACGGTCACCGGCGTCAATCGTTTCAGGATGAAGAGCAGTAACACAGCAGCAGTGAGAAGTACAAGATAGATACGGCTTGATATGATAGCTAACCGCTGAACATTTGGATTTCGACTTAGGGAACTCTTTTTCTTGAAAAAATTCATTGTACTTATGCCTTCAAGAGTCTTATTCCATAGATGTCTGAGCCAAAACCAATAACCTAGAAAAAGATCATTGTACAGTGAATTAATGTGTATTGATGCATCGTTATAACAAATTTTCGAAATTTTCCAAACTACGGTTTAAGGTAAGCTTTTATCGACTTTTTCAATGCCATCTAAAGTGATTGTTGAAATGAACAGGAGTCATATTTGGTTTCTTCTTCTCTCTGCACAGTCCATGACAGACACCCTCCGGATCTATCACGAATTCTGACTAAGATCATTGACCCAAATTATCAATTTTATACCAGTCACTTCTCATCAAAGTATATAACCTACACTTTTTCAGTTCTGGCAGACTCAGTAAAAGTTGATGAAAAATTGGTCTGTAGACAGATCATATAAAATCATATTCTGGTGATTACTGATAACAGGTCAGAGCCCGAAACGAGCCGTACTTTTCCGTTTTGGGTTCGGTTCACTTCGACTGAATTTTTGAGAAGTCTGTTCAGGTTCGGTTCGGCTCGGCTGAATTTTTGAAAAGTCGATTCGGGTTCGGTTCGGTTCAAGTCGAACCGAACCGAACCGTTTAAATTCGGTTCGAGTCAATAAAAATAAGTGAAAGCAAGCTGTACTTTAGTATTTTAATCATTGGCATTCATATATTTTGACTACCCTTCAATTAATGACTCGTTTGGAAGAAATGTGAGCACTTGGTTGAGTATATAAGATGACTTTTCTAAACTCAGAAATGGGGCAGACCCGAATCGAATCGAGGTCGACCGGTTCGGGTTCGGTTCGGCTCGACTCAGCTTTCAAAATATCGGTTCGAGTTCGCAGAGATGTCATAATATCCATAAGCTGGGTAACGACAAGTAACACGTCGAGATATCCAACGAGATGGATATCCAGATTTTTAGAGGTACTCTAAAAGTTGAGCAATTTGAGTGGATTTGGTGTAACGAGATAGATATCCAAAACTTTTAGTGGATACCCCCAAAAGTTGAGCAATTTGAGTGGATTTGGTGTAACGAGATGAATATCTCAATCTTTCAGTGGGTCCCCTCAAAAGTTGAGGAATTTGAGTGGATTTGGTGTAACGGGGATGGATATCCAAAATTTTTAGTGGGTAAACTCCCCCCCAGAATAGAAGGCCACCCCAGAATAGAAGGCCACCCCCATTAGAAGGCCACCCCTGAGTCATATTTGCAAAAGTCACATTAGAAGGCCATGGCTTTCTAATGAATTGTTTGGATATTACATAAATATTCTGTGCTAGTTTTATAAATATCTTAGCATTTTGAGAGATCATGTATGATCTCCACCGCACTCCTGTTTGGTTTTGCTATAAATTTAAAGAGGTATGTTCAATTTCCAAAAGCTGTCAAAACAAAACAAAGTTTAATATGCCTATTTGATCGCTTCAATTCTTTTGCTTTGGTACGATTACATATCTTTTGAATACATATAAAAACTTTTTTGTTCTTTGAAGTATTTGTGGTGCCAGACATCGGATAGGTATACTAATATTTGTTGATTAAATATAATACCCATGTAGCCGATAATGGATGAATAATGGAAAATGATCCATTATTTTCCATTATTTGAAGAAAAACATGAATTAATGCATTATAATTAATTATTTTTTGACTTTTCAATGCATTTCAATGCATTATTTCTAATAATGCTGAAAATGAAGGATAATGCCTAAATTTTCAATGCATTGTAATGCATTATTATAAAAAAAAATGCATTATGATGCGTTGATAAATCAATGTATTGCAATGGATTAATTAAAAATAATGCATTATAATGCATGAAATAGGTTGCATTATCATGTAATTGCATCCATTGCATTTCTATTGTAAAATAATGCATTGCAATGCCCATTATTTCATAAAATCGGCTACATGGGTAGCATTAGCTCAAAAAGTCTAAACAAATTTCAATTTTCAGTTGTCGAGCTAGAAAAACAGAATCAGCAACTAACAAAAAAAAATTGTAATTTTTTACCATAAAAGTCCTATTAGAAGGCCACCCTGAAAAGAGCGATGTGAATTTCCATAATAGAAGGCCATGGCCTTTTATTCTGGGGGGGGTTTACCCCTAAAAGTTGAGGAATTTGAGTGGATTTGGTGTAACGGGATGGATATCCAAAATTTTTAGTGGGTACCCCCAAAAGTTGAGCAATTTGAGTGGATTTGGTGTAACGAGATGGATACCCAAATCTCGTTACACCAAATCCACTCAAATTGCTCAACTTTTGGGGATACCCACTAAAAGATTGGGATATTCATCTCGTTACACCAAATTCACTCAAATTGCTCAAATTTTGAGGGTACCCATTCAGAGATTGTGAGATTCATCCCGTTGCACCAAATCCACTCAAATTGCTCAACTTTTGGGGGTACCCACTGAAAGAATGGGATATTCATCTCGTTACACCAAATTCACTCAAATTGCTCAAGTTTATGTGCGTGTGAATAATGAGAAATGGATCGAATAGATACCCTAATACCTATGAATAAAATCTCGATACCCGAGTTATGGATATTATGACATCCCTCCCTTTTTTCGTATAAAAAGTATGGTTGAAATAACTTCTAGAGCTGAAAAGCTCGAAA